AATCCCAGTTGCTTTCTGTCCCTTGACCATACTAGATACCTTCTTTAACCTGGTTCCTCCAGGTGCATTGGCTGTTGCCCTATTGGCTGGCGATGGTGGGAGTCTATTTTTGCCAGAGCTTGGAAAAGTTACTTTTTGGCCTTCCAGATTCCCCCAGCCAGTCTGTCAACTGGTTTAGAGTGGCTGTTTGAGAGGTTTTGGAAGATGCAATCCAAAAAAGTACATCTTTTCCAAGCTCTTGTTTCAAATCTTCTCTGAAGATGCCAGCCACAGATGCTGGCGAAACGTCAGAAAGAAACTCTTCTAGAACATAGCCACACAGCCCAAAAAACCTCACAAAAAACTATGGATGCCGGCCATGAAAGCCTTCAACTTCACATCTTGTTTCAAATGTTGAAGGGCATTAGATCAAAGTTAGATTAAAAGATAATGCATCATTTGGAGAGCAGAGCGGAAATATTAGGATCTGTCTTCTGTAGAGATAAAATATGTGCAAACATGCAGTACAATCCTATGCATGCTTACCTAGAAGTGAATTCAGTGGGACTTTCTCCTTAGTCCTGAGTAAGGACTTCCCAACTCCCACAAGCACCAGAGCTTAGGTAGGTTCCTTTTTAAAAAATAATAGCCACAATGCCCAGAGAAAGAGGAGGGGACCTCGTGCCTTTCACATTCAGTGCCAAAAGTGCACCGAGGGGTGTTTTTCCTCATTCTTGCCGAGGCTCATGAACTGCAGGACTTTGGAAAGTTCCCTTGTCAGATGGCACCTTTCAGCATCCATAACTCCCAAAGGCAAGAGAAAGAGGGGATCCCTGTGTCTTTCACAGTCGGTGCCAAAAACCCAGGAAGGATAGAGTCGGCCTGTCTTCATTCATCCCAATACTGGGTAGCTGAAGAGCTCAGGAAAGTTCCCTTTTTGGAGGACACCTCCCAACATGCACAATTCCCAAAAGCGAGAAAAGAGGGACCCCGGTGTCTTTCACAGTTGTTGCCAAAAAAGTCAGGAGAAGTCAAGTCTCCCTGCCTTCATTCATCCCAATGCTGGGCAGCTGAAGAGCTCAAGAAAGTCCTTTTTCTGAAAACACCTCCCAGCATCCCCAACTCCCAAAGGTGAGAGCGGGAGGTGAGTTCCATGTCTTTCACAGTTGCTGCTAAAAAAACAGGAGGATTAGAGTCTGCCTGTCTTTACTCATCTCAACGCTGGGCAGCTGAAGAGCCAGAAAAAGTTCTTTTTATTTATTTATTTTTAAGGATGACTCCCAGGATCTGGCTTGGGGATTCTGGGAGTCATCCTCCAGGGAAAAAAAGAGGATTTCCCCCCTCCCGACTCTTCAGTTGCTGCTGGGTGGGCCATCCTTTCTTCTTTCTCTCTTTACTGTCGCAGTGGCTTCAATAGGGTTGGCATCACCTAGCATGGTAACTCATACTATCACCCTTACCCCACCATTGATCTCCTTCCATACCACCCCATACAGAATCCTTCACAATGCTTTTGTACTAAGGTGACTCATAAATCATCATTCCCATATATCGCCAAATATCATGATCATAGTAGTGACATCGACAACTTGCAAGATTAAAATTATACCTTCCAAATACAGTATCATACACACAGGGGCAAAGTATTTACACACACACAGTTTCATGTGCTTACAGTGAACATCTGATAAAATGAGATGTCTGAAAAGAAATTTTTAAAATAATAGTTTTTAAAAAAAATAAATGAAATAAAAATATACTGGGGCCTCTCCTTTCTTCTCCCATTGAGCATCACCCCAGTCACACCATCTCTTCAGCATTTTAAAGGGACACAGGCAAATGCCACAGCCCATTTTTGCCAAAAGACAAAACTGTGAAGAGCTTTTCTGGTGCAATCCACAGTCCTTACACACCCCTAGTGACACCCGAGCTTTTGTTCTAAAAGGCTGACCAGTGACCAGTGACAAGTACACTCCTTAAGTTTTCACTTGATGCAGTCTGCACCCCCTTATGACATTACTGGTTTGGGGAGCAGTGGTGTCACTTGGTGTGGTCTGAACCCCCGATGACACCATTGATTTGGAGCAATGGTGTCACCCCCTCTTAAGAGTGTCACCTGGCGCAGTCCACACCTCTAGTGATGCCACTGATTTGGGGAGCAGTGGTTTCATCTCCTTTTAGTGTCACTTGGAGTGGTCTGCATCCTTTTAGTGACACCACTGGTTTGTGAAGCAGTGGTGTCACCTCCTCTTATGGTCCACATCCCCTTGTAACTCCACTGTTTGGGGGATCAGTAGTGTCACCCCCTCTTACGGTGTCATCTGATATGGTCTGCATCCCCTTAATGACGCCATTGGCTTGGGGAGCAGTGGTGTCACCCCTTCTTAGTGTGTCATTTGCTGCAGTCTGCACCCTGTTAGTGACACCACTGTTTTGGGGATCAGTGGTGTCATCTCTTCCTAGAGTGGCACCTGGTGCGGTCTGCACCCCCTAGTGATGCTACTGGTTTGGGGAGCAATGGTGTCACTTCCTCTTAGGGTGTCACCTAGGGCAATCTTCATCCCACAGTGATTCCACTGGTTTAGGGAGCAGTGGTATCATGCCCCCCCCTTACAGTTTCACCTGGTTCAGTCTATACCCTCCTAGCGGTGCCACTGGTTTGGGGACCAGTGGTGTCACCTGGTGTGGTGTGCACCCCCTTAGTGACCCCACTGGTTTGTGGAGCAGTGATGTCACTCCCTCTTAACAAGTAGCAAATACATTTCTATACCGCTTACCAGTGCACGTAAGGACTCCCTAAGCAGTTTACAATGTGTAAGCCAGTTGCCCCCAACAAGCTGGGTGCTCATTTTACCAACCTCAGAAGGATGCAAGTCTGAGTTGAGCCTGAGCCCCTGGCTGGTATTGAACTCACAACCTTATGGTTTGTGAGTGAGTGGCTGCAGTAGAGGCATTTAACCACTGTGCCACCAGGGCTCTTAGGGTGTCACCTAGTGCGATCTGCACCCCACAATGACACCCCTGGTTTGGGGATCGGGGGTGTCACCCCCCTCAGGGTGCCACCTGGCGTGGTCTGCACGCCCCTTGTGACTCCAGTGGTTTGGGGATCAGGGGTGTCACCCCCCTCAGGGTGCCACCTGGTGTGGTCTGCACCCCCC